AAAAGCCATATATTTGAGCTCGTAATATCTTGCTTATGTCTCTCAAAACCTGTAAATATAAACAATAAAAGTGAAATATAATTCTCGACGGAGAAAACAATTTGTCAAAGCTTATGACCTCGTAATTATGATGAATTGCCAGACATTGTATTTATTAATACGCCTTTAAGATTCTATCTTGGCTTTCAGATTCTTTCCAGATGTACAATTTCATTAATTGCTTTATAACATTTGTGCTTTGCATCCAATTATTTATGGCGTGTGGTGAAATTATGATTTTATTAGTTAAAAAAAAAAAAAAAAAGAATGACTAAATTGTTTTTCTGGCTTCTACTATAAGCAATAGTTGTGGATTTCTAATTTTTTTTCATCTTTTTTTTTAGGAATTTTGGTTTCATAATGCTTATCGTATTAAATTTTTTCCCAATGACAATAGATATAAAAAAACACTGATAATGACAATTTTTTAAGTAAAATTTGATATTGAAATTATTTTTATTTGTAAATATTTTTTCCTCTCAATAACTCTTGTACTTCTCTTAAATAATACAATTTAATTGAATTTTTGATTATTTTCATTGAACATGATGAAAATTTTATTGAAATAATTATACATCAATACTAATCTATATTCATAACATTGATAAAGTTTTTGTGTTGAACAATTATTACTAAAGAAATATTAGATTTTCTATTGATTTACTTAATTGTTAATTAACAATTTAATAACGAATTCTGGAGCGACGTTTACGGCCAAATAATAAATCGTATGTACTAATTTACCGTCAAATTTTTTCTTTTTGACTTTATCAAAATAAATTGATGAATAAATAATAAATACGCAGCCTTCGTCGTAGACAATCGACAAGAATTTTCTTTAACGAAAAAGTCGATGAAAAAAAAGCCCACTTCTGGTAAGTAGAAGGCCGGAAACTGGACCAATGCAAGGCTGCACACTCTCACTCCTTCGAGCGATTCTTTGGAATAAAATAAGTGTGACGAAAGGTCTAAAAATAAAGCACTCAACTCTAAACGTGCGTTGAGGAAAACTAGGATAAAATGATTTGATAGACCAGGTTCTTTGGCTTTTCGTGATAAATCGTATCGAAAGAGAAAGCTCGAATATTATAAGATTTTTCCGTAATGGAACGAAATTTTATTAGCAAATTATTTGAAATTATTTGAAAAATATAGAATTTCAATAATGCCCAATGTAATAATAGGCTGTCTTTTGAATAATCAGATGCATGTCCTGTTACCGCTTAATTATTTGTAATTCATGGGAAATATCTGCATTTTGAATATGAAAAGAAAAAAGAAAATTTCTTAAACAATAAAAAACTTATCGATAATCTTACGTACATCAACCAATGCATAATGTCATTAACTTCGCGTTAATAATACAGAAATACATATGCATTTTAATATCCATACACGTGATACTTTCGCCTCTATTATGCAAATTTTTAGAACGATGCATTTTATATGAAAGGACATTAATAAACTGCTCTGATATAGGATAATTTTTTGATGTTTAAATACGTTTTGCGTTGTAATTTTCAATCCTTGCGAAGGAGACTGGAGAGCCATTGTTCCCGATTATGTGATTTTGTTTTTGTGATTTGAATAATTACGAGCAGTATTTTTCGTATAATTAAATGTAACTTTCTTTTTATCAACTTGCTGCTATAATATTGCAAATATTCAACTGGCAGATTAAAGTAGACGCAATTAGTTTTAACGTAAGTTTAACGAATTGAAAAGTGAAATTTCGCTCGCTATTTGTTAATTGAAATATTAATAATCCAACGATTATCAATTGAAAATTGTATAATGTAATTGAAAAGAAATCGAAATTTTTGCATCGACTATTCACTTTTTGTTATAACTAATAAGTATACGAGCGATTAAAATTTTACGTTCGTTCTGCGTACGTATAACTTTTTCAATAAAAACTTCTCAACATTATTGATGGATCACGTGATAATATGTATTACATTTTATTGAAATAACATTAGAGAATCAAAGTCTACGAATTTTTAAAACATAAATGGAGAAAGTATTAATTGAAGATGATAAAATTTGATCTCGGCATCGATTGTAAATATTAAAAATTCGCCTAATGTGCAGATTTGAGGGAAAAAATTACAAGAAAAAATTATATTGATTTTATATTATAATTAGATCTGCTAGAAGATATACATGATATACAAGATATACATAAGACATTTTAAACATATTGTTATCTTCTTTCTTATTATTTCATTTTGTTTCATTTTATTCTTACATCAATTATAATATTGGAGATTATAAATAAATAATAATGACTATTTATGAGCATAAACCCATAGCTCGCGGGACTAATTTACAGTTAGTTTTTGATTCTCAAAGACATGAAATTACAATACTTTTAATAATATAATGACACGTTTTGTCAAATATCAGAAAACTTAGCATAAAAAAAATATGACAAATTATATGAAATAATAATAATAATAATAATAATAATAATAATAATAATAATAATAATAATAATAATAATACGACTATTTGTTGCACTGAAATGGAAATGGATGTGATAAACCATTTGCGATTGTTCGTATTTATTCACACAAGCGGCCATTTCGCTCTTAGTAATGAAATTTTATTCGATCACGATTACAATTGATCTTATAATATATGCAAGTATATACGTTTCGCATACAGACACAAGATTCTGATACAATTCTGTTGGCATTATTTTTATTCAGGGTAGGAAAGTCCGTACTTTTTACATTGTTTGGTTAGCCGCTTATACCTAGGTACGTACAACTTTGTAGTACCTGCGGAACTATTACAGTCAAGCGGCAATGCGTAACGATTTTATCTACACCGACCACAATTTTTGATGGCACAAAGTTAATAATCGTCCTTGCGCAAGTAGGGCTCTCGTAAAAGTACTTTCACAAATATGTAAGCGGTGCCACGGATAAAGCTTTGGTAAAACGTGCGTTTCCTAGTCATTATGTCCTTACATTGTTCGGGCGGCGTTAAAAATCTTGCGTGCGAATGCTCGAATAGGCCAGAGTGAGCGGAATATTATGTTGAGAATGTGTGATTTCGTTGGAATAAATCAATTGATTCGGCTACATTTCTTTTACTTGGATCCCCATGGATTTATGCCTTTTATTACACTCTCTGTTAAAATATGAAGTGTATTTGAAAAAAATTTTATTGATAAAGCAAAAATAGTCAAATCAAGTGGATGAAGTTTCTAATAATTTACTTATTTAGTAGCGCGAGCTCAAGGTGATATAAACGCCTTTAATACTCTCGGTTTCCTTCATTAATCATTCGAAAAAACCTTAGTAATACCGATATGAAAATCAAATTAATATTATTAATTTCAACTCTAATTCAAGTAACAGATGTAACGAAGTTTATTAAGTTTGCTCGTTTTTTACGTGCCCGTGTGTTTGTATTCTTAGCCAAAGTGCTTGTAAAAACTTTAAAAGCTGTAAATATATTGCTTGATTTATAACTACCGGGTAATATATTTTGCATAAAATAAATAAACATTAATGATTTTTCCGTTTACAAAAATTGAGAATACAATAAGATATTGGAGTAAATATATCCATATTATAGCTATTCGCGTTGCCTAATCAAAGTTTTACATGGAAATCAGTAGCAATGAATAATCGATGAATTGTAAACAAATTACGATAATTATCCGCATAATATATTTAATGAGATAAATATTATTTTACATAATGATGGCAATGTAATGTCGTCGGGATGCATAAAAAGAAAAAAAAAAAAAAAAAAAAAAGCAAGAATTCTTACGTATTCAGATTCGAGCTTCGTTGCACGCAGAATATATTGTAATAAAAACAATATTAATAACTATGATTTTTAATTCGTAATTAATGCTACACTATACGATAGGATATGCGATAGGATTATAATTGATTATGAAGAAATTCTTCGGCCTACTAAATTTATTCCCGAGGCGTTGCACATCTTACTAAGAAATTCCAATACACATTGATCGAAAGTGCAATATCAGCAAGGTAGCCGCGATTGTCTTTCTAAATTCTAAATGGCGGCTTATGGTGAACGAGCAGCTTTCTATCCAAACACGAGCAAAGCAGCAAAGCGCTCGGGTGACGGCTGTCACGGGACGACGAAACAATTATGCACAATTATGGTCTCGGCGAATCGTCGAAAAAGGTACGTCCTGTAGGACGAGATGCGAACTCTCTTTCGTTTATTTCATTGAACCAGCGGAGCAACAGCGCAACAGCGGACGTCGGTCGCAAGGGCAGACACAAAAGACCTCGATCTTCTATTCGAGCTTTCAATGCGCTTGACGCGCCAATAAAAAAGCTCGACTACTGATCGGCCAGGGTCCGCGAGTGACGAATAAAGAGGATAAAGACAGGCGACTCCCCGAGGCAGCCAATGTTAAGCCGAAGTCCAGCATCTCGTGACTGATAGTCGGATGGGCGGCCACGCGCTCACTCCCACCCCAAGTATCGGGAAACTCGGGGCACAAGGGGCGCCTTGACCCTCGTCGGATGCCCCTCGTGGACGACGCCCCGCGCGAGTGGGGGTAAGGTCCTCCTCGGGTCGACCTCCGCCGGCGCGGATATATAAGTCCCCGTCAGGGCCCCCACCTCACGTCAATCGAGCTAATACCGCACACGCACGAGCATCTGCTCGGGCCGCAGTAAAGAAAACCACAGCCACCATCGTTGTTGTCGTCGTGGTCGTGGTCGTCGTCGTCGTTGTCGTCGTCGTCGTCGTTGTCGTTGTCGTTGTCCTTGTCGGCTCAACCACTGCAATCGTCACCGCCATCGGCATCGAAATCGACATCGCCACCACCATCGCCACATCGCCACCGCCACCGCCACCGCCACCGCCGCTCTCACCAACCCCCCCAGACCAAACGGTGGCCGCTGCCACCGCCGCCAACACCGCCGCCGCCGCCGCCGCCGCCGCCGCCGCCGCCGACGCCGCAGCCACAGCCGACACCGACGTGGCCAGCGATCGCGCCAATTCAAAGCAGTCCTGCGCTAAGCGGATAGCGCCGCGGTTACGAGTCGACTCTACGCACACGGGCACTGGGAGAGGGAGAGAGAGGCCCAGGTGGACCGTCTCTCTTTCAATTTGCTATCGCCGCTATAGCGGGACGCGCGTGATTTTCGTTTGGCCGAGGGGAGAGCCCAGCGAGCCTGCCGTCAGTCCCCAACATGAGACTCGTAAGTAGGACCCCTTTTGGTAGCCGCGGACTTCCGTCCGAGCCCACTGGAGTCCAGGAGTCGGCCGGTTTAATGAGCGGCCCAAGATGAAGAAGAGCAGAGGTCGCGAGCGACTTGCGAGCTGCTTGACTTTACCTTATCATAATGGCCTAAACTTGCCAAAGCTACCACTAGCCACGAGAGAGAGAGAGAGAGAGAGAGAGAGAGAGAGAGAGAGAGAGAATCATAAACGCGTCGTTGCTGTTGTTGTGATATCGAGCTGTCGCTGAGGATTATTTGTCGGGCTGTGGGAAACTCGCTTCTTTGGCGAGAGGTGGAGGTGGGACGGAGTTTACCACAACCGTTAACGGTCAATAACTCGTCTCGCGCACTCTTTTCATTTCCCACGGCTCGCGGTCGAACGCGTGATAAGCGACCTTTTAAAGTCGCTCGATCCTCAATTTTATCGCGTTGCACCTTCGCGTACTGTTGGTCGCCAGCTTTGGGGTCGTGGGCGATGCGGATGATCTGCAGTCGCCTCTCGACGTCTTACGCCAAAGATAAACCCAGTGGACCGACGAGGAAAGTGGAGCGCGAGTAACACGTGCCCGGCGAAAGTGTGATAAAAGCCATGATGCGATCGTTAAATCGGAAAGGTAGGTAGGGGCGTTAAGGGAGGCGGATGTGAGGGAGAGATGGTAGGTGGGTCGACGGGGAAGGGGTTATGAGGCGTGAGGGAGGGAGAGAGCGAAGTCGGGAGGGAGGGAGGGAGGGAGGGAGGGAGGGGGATCCAACAGTCGGGTATCGGAATAAAGGAAGATTGGGGGGGGGGGGA